ACGGCTGCTCCAGCACCCAGGGCTGCATCGGGGTAGGTCCATGCAGCTTCTCCTTGGGGATGTCTTGTAGGAAGTGAGACTTGCCAGCTGAAGCAGGGAACTGGCTAAGGCAGCTGCACCCTGGTCCGACCATCACAAAGCAAGAGACCGGAGAACGAGAAAGGCGAGGCTCACTAAGCCATTTATCTGTCTGCCCTTCAATTAACCTCACATGTGTTTATCAGCCAGGTTGGCACAATAAACTAACTACCTCACTGTCAGACTATGCTCAAGGTAGGCATCACAAAGACTTCTCTGGTACCTCTGACACTGGCGCTGGGAAACTCACACACCTGGGGCTTCCTCTTGTCTCTCCATATGGTCCTTCTTTGTGGCTTTTCCTCTGTGGTTGTTTCCATGTTGGACTTCTTCGATAACAACTTGAGACAAATATTTAGTTAGTGCTTTTCCTGAGAGAGAAATTGCCAGTGAAAAACGGATTCCTTTTTATATCCTAGTTTCAGAAGCCATATATAGCATTCACATTATACCATATGGATTAGTCAAATTAGACCCAAGTCCCTGCCCAGAATCAAGAGAGGAAGGATATAGATTCCACTCCTCAGTGTGCGTGTGTGTATTGGGGGTGAGGTGGGGTGGGTGCCTGACACATTGGAAGAAGAGCCTGTGTACCCAGACTAACACAAAGCCTCTTCTGTTTATATCTATGTCTTTGTCTCTATCTGTGTCTTTATCTGTCATGACTATGGCTATCCATACATTTATATTTATCCAGCTATTGGTGAAGTTATCTTTCAAAAATACAATGGATTACACATGCCATGTGACAGAAGAAGAAAAGAAATGGACATTTGTGGAGAAACTACTGTGTGTGTGTGTGTGTCAGGTGTTGCTCACACAACTCTCTTATTTGATCCCGTTCCTAAATTTGAGAGAGCCGTGGTCATAACCACTTCTTGGATGAGAGAGTGAAGTCAATCTCTCGTGACACACGGTGAGAGAGCGCATGTCGGTTCTAGGATTCTGACCCAGATTAGAGGGACACCAAGGTTTATACTTCTGCCGTACTAGGATCCAGAGGCAGAAATAAGAGGAGCACGTGAGAAGACACAGAGGAGCTTCAGCACGATGGAAAGAGGGGCGAGCCTCATGATGAGGTTCTCAAGAATCAGACTGAGGGGTTGAGTCTTCTCCTTGGGGAAGAAGTACTTCAAGAAGTCATGAAAGCCAGCTCTGTTACCTGGGGTCATGTAGCTGTCTTTCCTCTCTCGACAATGAACATCGGACAGTCCATAAACATTAGACGGACGTGAAGGATGACCCTGGGACCAGTTCTGTTCCACTTATGAAGTAGGAATGGGAAGACTTCATTTTAGGGCCCTCCTCTGGGCTCCCAGCCTGTGCAGAGGGTGGTGGGCACCGACCGTGGGGAGAAGTATCGGGGGAGCAGGCAAGGAGTGGAAGCACATCGTGTCAAAGAGTGTCTTTCCCCTACCTCAAAGAGACAGAAGAAGACATTATTAGCTGAGTGTCTATTTTGTGCCAACCACCATGCCACTGGACCTCACCTCAAGAGAGTTGGCCCTGTCAGTTGAACTACCATCTCCCCATGTTTAGGGCAGGACACTGCGACATCGAAAGGTGAAGTGACAAGCCCGAGGTCCCATGAAAGCACGACAGAACTAGGATGAGGGCTCTGCCTTGTGTGGCTTCGAAGCCTTGCTTTTCCCACTCCAACCTCTGATGACCCAAGAGTTGACCGTTCCTGGTCTCCGACCATGATCATCAAGGAAGTAGGGAGCAAAGATTCCCGGAACCACAATTACCAGCTGTATGGTCGCGACCAAGTGACTTAACCTGTTGGTGCCTCATATGCCTTATCTGTCAAAAGGGCCATGATCATAGTATTTACTGCATCCGATGGTAATGAAGATTAAATAAGTTTGTAAATACAAAGTAACACAGAGAACGGTGTCTGGTTCCTGATGAGTACTATTGTGAAGGTTAGTCATCTGATTCTTGTTATCATAGATGGAGGGAGACGATCTTCATGCCAACTGGGACCTGCTCACCCAGCCTCTGAGTCAGGGTCTACAGATGGGAAAGAAGAGCTGTTATTATTAGAGAAAGGTCCTAAAACCCCACCCAGTCACCAGAGTTTCAAATTGAGAAATTCAGCAAGTATGAACTGACAGCCGCAAATGTGGATGTGAAAATGATGCCACTTAAGTCCATTAAGTTTCAGTAGGAATCTCTCACTTGGCCCTTTGATAATTCAATCCCAGTTACAGGGGCTCCCTCCGTGTTTCAGGTATCTACTGCCATATCACAAACTACTCCAACACTCAGTGGTTCAAAAGAACAAGCATTCTTTTGCTCCAGAGTCTGTCCTTTGGACTCAGCGGGGCAGGTTCATCTCTGCTCTGTCTAGCACAGCGCGGCAGCTGAATGGGGAGAGCAGCATGGGGGAAGGATACGGATGATAGCTGTACAATCTGATGAAAATAGTGCATTTCATTTTTAAAAAGAGAAAAGGCGTATGATCAGGGGGACCTTATTGCAAAGGTAACCTGAAGACGTGAAGGAGCAAGTCGTACAGGTATCTGACTGCTCGGGGGGCAGGCTGGGCAAAAGCTCTGAAAAGGAGGCATGCTTAGGAGGGTCAGGGACGGTACCCCGGCCAGTGTGGCTGAACAGGAGAGGGGGTGTCTGGCCCATGTAGATCCCTCCGACCACATCACCTCCCCAACACTTCAACTTTCTCTCAAATTTTAGAAGTTGCCAGGCTGCCCACTGCCCCACCTTCCGTGGTTCTTCCTAGAGGCCAAACCACGAGAGCCTGAATTCCGTGGTCGGGGGCTCCAGAGGCCACGCCCTTATGTACCATTCCCAAGCTTGTGCTTGGACGTTTGAGGTTGTGTGCTTAATGCCCTCTTCCTCTGCTGGACAGTCAGCGGCCTGCACATGGGGCCGGAGTCTTCCTTGTATTCCTGTGTCTGCTGCATGCAGCATGATGCCTACCCCCTATTCAGGTTCCATATACGTTTCCTGAATAACAAACCCCACACCAACTGGACTGAGGTCAGATGCGCCTTCCGCCTCTCCAAGTCAAGACTCAGTCTTGCTGTCACCTTCTCAAGAAAACCTCCTCGTCACCGTGGGGACGTCGTCCGCTCCCCGGGTATGTTTGTTCAGCTCAGCCTCCTTTTCCTTGAGAGCATGGATGGAAATGATAATGCGTCATCTGACGGCCCCTCTGCCTAGCATCTGTCACACCTGCTAGCCTGGGATATAAAAGCTCTTGTGCTCTACGAGCCCTAAATGACCTGCAGCGATCTTCATCATCACCCCACAAAGAGTATTGTTACTCCCATTCTGCAAAGCGGAGAACTGAGATACGGAGAGATTAAGTAGAGAATAGTTCAGTCCCTAGATGGCTGAGTCGGCACTGGAACCATGGACAGCTGACCCCAACCACTGGGTCTGTGGCTCCTGTCCTGTCACCCTGACCGTCAGGGCCAAACAGCAGCTCCGCTCACTGTCCTGTCACCTTGACCGTCAATGCCAAACAGCAGCTCGGCACAGAACACCCATGTGGCAAGTAGTGGCAGAATTAGCAAGTGACTGGCTGAAAGAAGCAAATAAGATGCCACGTCGGGCGACAGGTGAGTCACAATTTAAGGCCTCAGCCTCATGTCTCTGTCCTCTTCCTGCCCAGGAGTCAGAATCACGAAGGTGGACTGGCAGCGGCAGAGGAACGCCACTAGCCACCACACCCAGGAGTTCCCCAGCCCCAACCTGGTGGTCCGCAGGGGTCAGGCGTTCACCATCCTAATGAGTGTCAGCAGGGCCCTGGAGAGCGAGGAGGCCCTCGTCTTCACGGTGGAAACAGGTAACTTCTCCTCGAAGCACCTGCAGCTGGTCTGCAATCCAAGAGGCTTTAGCTGTAACTCATCCACCAACACCCTGTGTCACCGCTCCAAGCGAGCACACGGGGGAAAGCAAGTCCTTGTAGGGGGTCGTTGATGATCGCTTTCTGGGGATGGATGAGATGGGATCTGTGGCAGCGAGGGCTCCGGAGAAGGTCATGGAAAATCATTGCACACCTTCAGAACCCAAGCTTGTCTTCCCTTTCCTGGTTAGACCTAGTCCTGAACTTTGGTCTCAAAGATCCTTTATTCTTTGGTCCAGGAAGGGCGAGGAGCCAGGGCAGCCTGGTATACCGTGGGCAAATCCTTTCCCCCGATAGTCTCTATCCATTCAGGCCCACACTTCTCCACTTCTCGGGAGCTGGGCTTCCTGACCCTCTTCCCACCTCCGCCAGGACCGCAGGCTTCTGAGGCTCTCCACACCAAAGCTGAGTTCCAAACCTCGGGGCCGGAGCAGGACACTGCCTGGAGGGCAGCTCAGGAGACTCAGACCCAGAACGCCGTGACCGTCAGCCTCACCAGCCCTCCCAACGCTGCCATCGGCCACTACCAGCTGAGTGCCAGGCTTTCCTCCCGCCGCAAGCACAGCAACAGGAAACTGGGCGAGTTTGTGTTACTTTTCAACCCATGGTGCCCAGGTAGGAGTTGCCTGGCCCAAGGCAGATACATTCCTGGAAGCTGTTTGCAAAAGTAGGCCTGCTTTGGGGAGAGGCAGAAGGAGCCCAAGAGGCATGTTAAGGGGCAGGGAGGTGACTGCCAAGAGTTGGGACAGAGGCTGGCCTTGGCAGTGATGGACACTGGGTAGAGGAGCCGGGCAGCAGGTGCTACAAAGGAGACATAGAGTTTGGGGGGGTGGTAGGGTGTGTGTGAGACGGTTAGAATCTAGTGTGTAGTGAGGGGTGCCAGGTGGCCAGGAGAAGCCCAGGAGTGGGTAAGAACCTGGATTTGGGCATCTGGTAGACCTTAATCAGGTACGGCTCCTCTATGGTACTTACTTCCCTTCTGAATCTCAGTTTGTTCATTGTGATGTGGCAAATAATCACAGCGCCTGCCAAATAAGATTGTGGAGCAAAGTGACAGAGTTAATGCTTGTCAAGTGCAAAGTACACTGTAAGGCCTCAGCGAAGGGACGCCTGGACCTTATCATTAGCACGGAGTCTCCTTCTTAATACTCAAGAAATCCAAGGCTGCCCTGGGCATCGAGGAGGGTGACCCCAAAGGTGTCACAACTCTGAGCTGAACTGGGGGTTCACCCCACGATAGAGTGGGGCTTGGGGACTTGGCAGAAGTGTCTCCTCCTGTCCCCACAACCTCCAGGCGCCATCGTGTTGCTGACCCCTGATGTAGCCCCTTCCCAGGCTACCACGGCCAGAGCCCCAGCCCACACGGGGCCTGCTGACTGCTTTTCAGAGGACGATGTGTTCCTGGCCTCAGAGGAAGAGCGACAGGAGTACGTGCTGAACGACAGCGGGGTCATCTTCCGAGGCGTGGAGAACCACATCCGAGCCCAAGGCTGGAACTACGGGCAGGTCTCCAGGGGCACAGGCCAGACGGGGCGCGGGCTGGGCAGTGAAGTCACCTTGGGGGCCCTCTGTCTATTCACTTCTCCCCAAATGGAGCCACGCTAGGCAGATTCCTAGCACACACCATTCGTTCGTTCAGCTGTGCCAAGGCCTGGCCTAGGTCCTTGGGAGGAGAGACACTTTGGACACGGCCTGGACACAGACGAGGCCTGTTCTGCTGTGGAAGGAAAAAAAGTTTAGATGAGAGGTTCTCAAGCCTTAACGGATCCCAGAATCCCCTGAAGACCTCATTCGCACAGGTGGCTGGGTCCCCGCTCCCAGCATCACTGATTCTGTAGGTCTGAGGCAGGGCAGAGCAGAGCAGAAATTTTGCATTGCTAACCAGCTCCCGGGCACTGCTGATAGAACCAGTCTGGGAGTCCACTTTTGAGATCCATTGGCTTAGATGACTAGATACAGTTCAGAGTGTGCTGGGGGAAGGACAGGTAAAGAGGAGAGCATGGAAAGAAATTCTATCCAGGGACTGGGAGCAGCATCTTTGAGTCAGGTCTCTGAAGTTGAGCGGGATTTGGACAGGCCGAGGGAAGAACACGAGGATGGAGGTGGGAAGTGTGAGAGCTAGGGGTGGGTCTCCTCTCTGCCTGAGCCCAGGTGCCTTACAAAAAGCAAGGTGGAGCCTCAAGCAAGCATCAGGTTGTGAGCACCGTCAGCATTGCCCTGAGTGCCGGGGGTTGAGGATTTGGGGTGTCGGTGTGGAGCATAGATGCTGTGCTGACCTAGAGAGACCAGGACCTGGCTAAGGGACAAGGACTGCTCAGTACCTACTGGTTCCTGGGCCTTCCAGATCTTCAGAGGCCACAATCTTCATTTTTATGTAGAAATCCCTCCTGCAAAACACAAAAGTAATTCAAACCTATGTATTTGAAAGCATCAGGTAAAACAAATGAGTATATTGATGAAGTAGATGGAGCACAAGAGCTGTTGTGACTGTCCTGTGGTCAATAAGCAGCCACGGGAGGTTACTGAGCAGGAGAGAGGCATGAAGAAGATTGAGCTTCGGGTCCTGAGGTGACGCTGAGAACGGGCTTTGAGACTTGCTCCGTGACATCCCTGGGGCTGGGGTCAGGGGGAATCCTCCACCCTTATTCAAGTGACTGGGTGAGGGCTTTGGGAGGGTCTCGGGATATGTGAGAGGCACAGGCCTCTAAGCCCAGCTTTCTTGTGGGGGGAGCAGTTTGAGGAGAACATCTTGAACATCTGTCTTTCCATCCTGGACCGAAGCCCCAGTCACCAAGACAACCCAGCCAGCGACGTGTCCAGCCGCCATGACCCCGTCTACATCACCAGGGTCATCAGTGCCATGGTAAGGCGCCCCCTGCTGGTCCTGCATGTACTCTCTCATCCTGTGATTTTTTTTCCCAAGGCGCTTCTGTTTGGATGCTCTGTTGCTACTTAGCAAACCACTCCAAAATTCAGAAGCATAAAACAGCCCTTGATTGAGCTGACGAGTTTGTAGATCAGGAACCCGGACAGGGTACCATGAGGGTGCCTTGTGTCTGCTCCATCTTGGATGGATGACCTGGTATAGAAGCCTGGGGTCATTTGATCTGGGCCATATATATGCAGCCTCGGTTCTGGCTGTTGGTGTTCCCTTGGTTGTCTTCCATGTCTTGTCTTCTGAAGGTGGAATCTCCAAGATGGAACTCATGTCTGGCAGCAGGGCTGAGGTGGTTGGGGCTGGTCAGCCATTGCTCTTTCTCTATGTGTAGCCTCTTGATGTGGCTAGCCGAGGCTCCCTCAACGGATGGCCGTCTCAGGGTGATTGGACTTCTATAGTTCCAAGAGAAAGGAAGTGGGCTCAAGGTCAGAAAGCCTGGGCTTGGAAACAGCATTGGTGAAAGGAGCTATCCCCCTAACCAAAACTAGACCCATGGCATTGAGTCGATGCCGACTCACCACAACCCTTGAGAACAGGGTAGAACTGCCTCTGCGGGTTTCCAAGACGGTAACACTACAAAAGTAGAAAGCCTCCTCTTTCTCCCATAGAGCTGGCTGGTGGTTTTGAGCTACTGACCATGTGGTTAGCAGCCCAATGCATAACCATTATGCTGCTAGGGCTCCACCCAAAGCACCTATAGCCAAGGCCACGTTCAAAGGGAAGGGACATAGATCCCCTTTCCATGGGAGAAGTGCCATCTTTAACCTATCACAACACTCAAGCCAGCATGCTTCCTCCTTGAAAGGGAACCAGCAGGTCAACAAGCTCTATCAAAGGCAACTGTCAAGGTCAGGATGGGCAAAGCTTAATTTTTAAAGTATTTGATATTAAACATCGGTTCCTCAAAACCTCCCAGGTGTTTTAAAGTAGAATCGTGAAAAGCAATGACTAATCCAAGCAGTAGAACCCTGAAGTCCTAAATGAGACCTGGGGGCATAGTGTGTTAAGTAATGAACTGCTGACCAGAAAGCCAGTGGTTCAAGCCCACCAGCTGATCTGCAGGAGAAAGATGAGGCTATCTGCTCCTGTGAAGATTTACAGTCTCCCAAACCCCACCAATCAGTTCGATTCTGCCCTATAGGGCCACTAGGAGTTAGAATTGGCTTGATGACAGTGGATTTGTTTGGGTTTGGAAACAAAAACCCAGGATCCCAAATCAAAGTCCTAAATCCAGGGGTCACCTTCTTAACTAACTTGATGTGTGATTTTGGACTGGCCGCTTAACCCCTCTGAGTCATGGTTTTCTCATTTGAGAAAGGGGGAGAGGGCAACAGGGGATGGGAGGGGCAGGGTTACAGAGCAATAGACGCTACATCATAGACTTAAACAGGCTAATGTGTCTACAAAGTCCCTAGGTCAGTGTTGGCATTTAATAAACATTTACTCGATGTTAGCTGCTTCTCGAATTACAGCAGCATCAGTCCCAAGAGATAGATCACTTAAATCAGGAAATACTAAAACCATACATCAGAAGATGCAAGTGGAAGATAATTGAGAAAGATAAACGGTACTTTAAAAAAAGTCGGTAATTCAAGGCAATAGATGCCCTCAGTTTTAAAGAGTGGGCTCATGCCATTGGGTAGGCTAAGGTTGGAGCTGCTTGAACAGTGGTAAGGTTTCTGGAGGGGAAGCCAGGCAGCAACCTCGAGGGAGCCCTGGACGGTTGTAGGCCTGTGCCCACCCCACCGCCCACCCCACCCCTCTCCCAGGTGAACAGCAACAATGACCGGGGCGTGGTGCAAGGCCAGTGGCAGGGCAAGTATGGCGGTGGCACCAGCCCACTGCACTGGCAAGGCAGTGTGGCCATTCTGCAGAAGTGGTTCAAGGGCAGGTACAAGCCTGTCAAATACGGCCAGTGCTGGGTCTTCGCTGGAGTCATGTGCACAGGTACCCTGGAAAGAATGTCTTATTGCCTCCCCCCCCGGCCCCTCAACATATACCCACAGAGTCTGCCCCTCTTTGCATGTATTTGTATATATTTGCAGGGTTCAAAAAATGCATTGTAAAACATTTGTCATGATGAAATGGAGGTCGGGTTGATAAATAGAAACACCGGGTAGTTAATTTTCATGATTTTTGATCTTATGTTTGGGGGTCCCACCTCCCTCTGCTTCCACCTCGCCATGTGCCCTTGGGTGAGTTCTGTGCATGCCTAGGTCTTAGGTTCTCCCCTGGAAATGGAACAGGTTCTAGTCCGTGCCTTGCATGGTCTGTCAGCCTCAGTCCATCGATTCTAACAGAGGTGCCTGTGTCCCCCGAAGACCCCTATGCAGGTGTGTCAGACGGGAGGCCCAGCTCAACCAAAGCAGACTGGCCAGTAGAGACGGGAAGGAACTTGGGCCTGAAAGGAGGCTCTGTGCCCTGTCTGATGTCCTGGCCTATTCCTGGAGCCTTCCCAGCCTCTTGCCCTTCAGTCCTTAGGTGCCTGGGGATCGCCACACGGGTTGTGTCCAACTTCAACTCGGCCCATGACACAGACAGGAACCTGAGTGTGGACAAATATGTGGACTCTTTTGGGCGGACCCTGGAGGACCTGACGGAAGACAGCATGTGGTGGGTTGGGGATGCCTGACCAGGGCTCTCGGGGTTCCTTAGCAAGAATGGCAGGGCCTCGTCTTCCATTAGGTTGACCGTGCCACTGTGCTGAGTCCGAGCCGGTTCTGTGGAGAGTGAGAGGGGCCCGCTGGAGAGGCAGGCGGGGTCCAGAGAGGCAGGACTCCTTTGTGAGAGGCACGGGGAGCCACTGGACACACAACTCAGACGTTAGAACAGACCCCAAGATTTGATTGCCTGGAACCTTGATCCTGAGCTCCGCACTCTGTGGGGATTGGAGGGCTCCCTAAGATTCCTGGGCATTCCAGGGTGGGGGGTACCTTTCCTCCACATAGTCACAGGACTCCTGCTCCCCTTCCATGCCTGGGCAAGGGGGGCTGTGCTCCCCGGGTGGGAAACAGCCTGCTCCCTCCATTTAAACAAACCAAGACTCTAGGAACAAAATTTAACAACTCATTTTGGTTTCCTCGATAAAAACAGGAAATACACCCATATGGGCCAATATTTTAAAGGTTCAAAGTGGGTCACAGGGAAAAGTCTCCCTCCCAGCCTGTCTCCCAGGCACCCCTCGTCCTCTCCAGAGACAACACTTGGCTCGTGTCTCACACATCCTTTCCGAGAGAGGCTGTACAGAGAATGGGGTATACGCGTATACAGCGGCCCTCCCCACTTTTACCCAGCTGCGCGCTATCTGCTATTCTTCACTGTACATTCCACCCCTCCATAGCAGTGCACAAAGGGTTTCCATAGAGGTCACAGTGTTCAAAGTGAACATTTCCATGAAGAACTTTATCCAAAATGATGATTAACACACAAGAAAATCCTGCGCACAAACATTTCACCCCCTGTATAGTCAGCTTCCAGAAAATTAGGGCAGATGATGGACAGACGTACAGACAGCCTCTGTACCTTAGAGCGTCCTGCAGCCATCCCCTAGGGAGCACGCCCAGCCATCTTTTCTTCTGCCTGGTCTCCAGCCTTTTACCTCAGTTCCTCTCTTCCTGCCCCCACCCCCCTTCTCCTCTTCTTAGTTCCCATCTTCTTCTTCCCACAGGGGTAACCCCCACCCCAAAAGGGACCACCTTCTTTTCCCTTCCCTATGCACCATGGACAGACACTCCTTTATGGGGGGGGGGGCATCTGTCACCACCCAGCTTGTTCACAAACGCTTGGGAATCAACTTAGAAGTTTCCAGATCAACCCGGTCGGTCGGTGTCTGTCGCTGGCTGAAACTGGGACAGGCGATCCCGGGGCCGAGTTCCTGGCAGCAAGGCCAAGGCGTTTGGAGTTTGGAGCTCTTTCTCATGTAGGTCTCACTTTCGATGAGACGCTCTCTGCTTGTGAAGATTTGCCCCCAAAATCCCCACTCAGCCAGGTGGAGTGGGTTTGTTTTCTGGGTTTTTTGGTTTTGTTTTTAGGATGTCATTTATCTAAATATCTATCACAAGCGGTTATTTTTGGATCCAAGGGCCTCTCTTTCTTCCCAACATCTATGGTTACTTGCATTTCTTTTACTTGTCTACATCTGGCTGTCTCCCCAGCTGTAGGCTTTATTAAAATGTAAACTGCATGAGGGCAAGGGGCTTCTAATTTGCAGCGGATTCCTGACACCTTGAACCAGGTCCTTGGCACTTTGGGAATATGTGCTCCTCAGAAAGGTGAATGAATGACCCAGAAGGTCTTGGCAGGACCTCAGGCAGAGTGCCAGGCCCAGATAGAAGCTCCCCATCCTTTGGGCTCCGGTGCTCAGCCTAGGCCACTTAACTCATCCTCCCTCTGTGGCAGGAATTTCCACGTCTGGAACGAGTGCTGGTTTGCCCGGAAGGACCTGGGCCCCTCGTACAATGGCTGGCAGGTGCTGGATGCCACCCCCCAGGAGGAGAGTGAAGGTACGGGCTCGGTGGGCAGGTCCCAAGGCCCCTGGTCTTTCCCACCCACACTGCGCATGCCCACCCCTTCTGCCCAGGTGTGTTTCGCTGTGGCCCGGCCTCCGTCACTGCCATCCGTGAGGGCGATGTGCACCTGGCCCATGACGGCCCGTTCGTGTTTGCGGAGGTCAATGCGGACTACATCACCTGGCTCTGGCATGAGGGCGAGAGCCGAGAGCGTGTGTACTCAGACACAAAGAAGATCGGGAGATGCATCAGCACCAAGGCGGTGGGCAGCGACGCCCGCGTGGATATCACCAGCCTCTACAAGTACCCTGAAGGTAAGGGCAGCAGGTGGCCTCTGTCAGCCTCGCCACGCTACTCTCTCTACTCAGGACTAGGCTGGGCAGATGACAGCAGCCTCCACTCCGCATTGTCTTTTGACCACAGGAAAGCAATGCACAGAACAGAAGCAAAGAGGTTTCTTACTCGATCGAGACAGTTTGAACCGGAGAAACCCAGCGTCCACACGGGGAAAATCAAGCTCTTCAAAATGTTGGAGCCGAACAGACGCATTTATAGGGGAAAATCAAGGACTGAGAAAATGCACAACTTTTCATTGGCGAGTTGACAGCTCAGGAAGCCGAAGGCAGCTTTTCCCAAAACAAGAAAGGTCAGGTGGATGTCTAGCATTGGTTCCAGACCTTACTTGTAGACGGGCCTGGCTATAAGACAGTTACAGGATAGTCTTTCCTGGGAACGTGCTGTAAAAATGGCTTCTGCAAGTAAAATATCTCTTGGCATGAGATGTCTGACAACTACTTGCATCAAGACCCCCATGGCGATGCCGTGGCATCCTGCTTATATTTGAGCACAGAGAAAAGCATGTCCTTAGATGCGCACTTATGTCTGACAGCAGGAAAGTACAAGGACTATACAAATGGTGTCTGTGCTCAGCTCCAGGCCAGCGTCCCTGCTACATCGAGTGCCTCACTGTTAGGGCTTTCTCACATTTCCTCTTCTTGATCAAGGATTTCAGGGGAATCCTACATAAAGACTATGGACTGATTTTCTCGGGTTACTAGATGGCTGTATGTTTTATTTATTATTATTTTTTGGCTGTATGTTTTAAATAGGCCTTTTAGCTGTTAGATACTATCCTTGTACCAATCACTGGGCACCATGTTTCTCGTCTTCACCAGGCCATTGCTTGGACTTCTGCTTCTGTTATCTGAGGAGGGAATGGGTAGAGAGCCTGGCTACGTCAGAGGAGCAACTGACTCCTGGGACAGGCCATTTAGAATGATCACTCAACTTCACCAGAAAAGTTACGGTCTGTGTGCATGGCTTTATGTTGTCCTTTCCTTTTATTTTATTTTTAATAGTTTTGTTAGCATATCCATCCACACAACTCGTCATCCAATAGTTTGATCCTCTTAAGAAGCGTCGCACGATCATCACCCACACTGGGTTTGGGAACATGGTCTTCTTTCTTCTATGCATTGTGGTGTGTGTGTGACTTTAGTTAGAGACATTCTTTTGATATTTGGGGGTAAGAAAATTGATGATGTGTTTCTAATAGCATCTCATTATTCCAATCGTGACAATAACAACCATTAGTATCGTTACGCTAGTTAGTAAAATGGACCTGACCCATTAACCAACTCCTTGAAGCAGCCAACTAACTATGTCGAGGAAAGGTGGATCTGGCACAGCGTGTGTGGAGTAGCGCTAAACAGCCTACGGTGGACTCTCTGATGTCTTAGGTTTGGCAAGGCACGGGTCTCAGTGCTCCATGACCTGGCTGGCGCTATGCGTTGGGTTAAGCTAGAGCATGCCACGTGGGGTTGATCCACTTATTCAGAACGGTGCCACTGTCTAACTTGAGTGGCTTGTTTATGGGTGATAGAATTATTGATAGCAGCACTTGGAGTAGAATTATAGTTTAAGATGGGTGCTACTAGACGGCCTGAATGCTCCTGCACAGACGTGGGAGGAGAATGGCATATTCAATATTTAGGAAGGTTGCTGGCACTACCAATAGATTGGCCTAATTTAACAAATGTTTTCACAGGCCTTATTAATAAGGGTTACATCATAGAGTAAAATACTTCAGGAAAACTTCATACCAAAAAAACCAAACTCACTGTCATAGGTCAATGCAGACTCATAGCGACCCTGTGGGGAAAGGTACACCCGCCCCGGTGGGTTTTCAAGAGTAGAAAGTCCCGTCTTTCTTCCAGGGAGCAACTGGTGGTTTTGATCTGCTGACCTTGCTGATAGCAGCCCAACGCATAATCACTATGCCACCAAGATGCCTAAGGAAAACTTCATAGTGGAGAAATAATAATAACAAATGATACTATCAGGCAAATATCTAAAAACAATAGCTGTGATAAAAAATATTCCCCCTTAACTTACTTTTATGGAAAAAAAATAAGATATCAAAACAAGGGAAATCTTGTCATAAATAGCTGACTGCAAATAAGAATAGCTGCAATGAGAAAAAAGAAAGATAAAATATCAATGTAAGTGATTTGCATAAAGTAATCTTACCAATAAATAAAAACTTACCAAAAGTAATATGGGGGAGACAAATAAAAAGGCCCTGAAACTGAATTGATTTGGACTCATAGTGCTAGAGTTCCCGAGGCTATAAATCTTTGTGGGAGTAGACGGCCTGTCTCTCTCCTGCAGAGCAGCTGGCTGTTTTGAAATACCAACCTTGCACTCAGCAGCACAGCAGTTATCCAACAGCGTCCCCCAGCTCCAGGAAATGAAACCATGGAGTTAGTGATGGGAATTTGGCATGCAACATGAAATAAGATTCACAGATTTCAGGTGACCTCATGGAAATAAAGTGTTCTAGAGAAACCCAGTCAATGAATAAAGTGTACCAGGGAATTACAGACCAATCTGACAATGGAAAGTACAGTAACTTGCAGGAGATCTATCTCGCCCTGTGGTTTGGGCTAGAAGTCTGCTTCTCAGATGTCTGCTTCTAGCCAGTAGGGCATTTAAAGGACCATTGTAGTCCTTCTGGGTTCTTTAACATTCTTAAGTTGAGATAGGTGGATATAGCATTCCCTGGAAAATATAATTTTTAATTTTATTGGGGGCTCTTACAGCTCTTATCACAATCCATACATCCATTCTTTGTGTCAAGCACATGTGTACATTTGTTGCCATCATCATTCTCAAAACATTTTCTTTCTACTTGAGCCCTTGGTATCAGTTCCTCATCTTTTTTCCTCCTACCCCCGCCCTCTCTCCCCCATATCCCCTTGATAATTTATAAATTATTCTCTTTTTTTTCATGTCTTACACTGACCGCTCTCTCCTTTCACCCACTTTTCTGCTGTCCATCCCCCCAGGAGGGGGGCCATAAGTCGATTATTGTGATTGGTTCCCCCTTACTGCCCTGGCGTTACCCTTACCCTCCTAGTATTGCTGTTCCCCTTATTGGTCCTGGGGGCGTTTATCTGTTCTGGATTCCCTGTGTTGTGAGCTCTTATCTGTACCAGTACACGTGTTGTGGTCTAGCCAGATTTGTAAGATAGAATTGGAGTCATGATAGTGGGTGGGTGGAGAAAGCATTCAAGAACTAGAGGAAGGTTGTGTGTTTCGTTGGTGCTATACTGCACCCTGACTGGCTCGTCTCTTCCTTGTGACCCTTCTAACAGGAGGTGTCTAATGGACGACTGATGGGCTTTAGGTCTCCACTCTGCCCTCCCCCTCATTCCCATTGATATGATTTTGTTGTTGTTGCTGTTGTTGTTTGTTTGTTTTGCTTTGGATCTTTGATGCCTGATACCTGATCCCATCATCAGTAGATAAAACTACCTGGAAATTTTTAAAATAAAGATTGAGGTTCAGGCCTGACTTCCTTAAAAGCCTCCTGGTTTTGAGAAAAATCTGTTCTAGAATAAAAGGCAGTACATTCGTGCGACTGGTTGTATTGGGTTAGAGTCCAGATAGGACATAGGCATAAGTCTTGTAGTCATTATTTCATGAGAGTTAAGTTCAGGAATTCCAAGTAGGTTATATCTTAAATTCAAAAGGACTACAGAGAGAACTTTAGTCGAAGGCAATTCTACAGACTGACAATTTGGCTATTCGGCGATTTGAATTTTTAAAATTCCATTAGTTTCTCTAGTTGTGCACAAGAAATTAGTAGAGGCAATGTCATCTTTGACAGAGCAGAAGGATTTCACACATGTCTTGAATTATCTGGCCCAGACGTGAAATCCTTTGTCCCTGCAGAGTGTTTGGGGCTCTCCAAATCAGAATAGTGTTTTCCAGAAGCTTCTTTGCACAAAGGTCCCCCTGCCATCGAGTCAAGGGCGACTCCCAGAGAGCCCTGTGGGCTTCTGAGACTGTCGCTGTTCATGGGAGTAGAAAGCCCAGTCTCTCTCCTGTGGAGCTGCTGCTGCTGGTTTCAAACTGCTGACCATGCAGATTGCAGCCCAACTCGTAACCACTACACCACCATGGCTCCATAAGGTGGCAGTAGCATTGTACAAGGAAGAGCTTTGATCCAATGTGAGAATGAACAAGTCATTATTAATACATAGTTACATGCACTGGATGAGCTATTTGCTCAGAAGGTAAGGGAAGTGGCAAAGGAACATGTCAAGATACTTTCCAGGATTGTAATAAATAAATATGATTTATCAATATTCTCCACTGCCTTAATAATATCACCCTCTAGTATTTCTTCAAAGTTTCAATTATCTTCCCATGTCTCATGCGGAAACTTATGTGTGAGGCTTGAGCCAGGGGAATGTTAAGAAATTTTGAGAGAATAACTCTTTGGTTAGATCCTATCCATATGCCAGTTTTTCAGTCTTGAGGATAGCCTAGCTTCCCCCAGTGGAGGGAGCTAATGGTTGTCTTCTGAGGGGGCTGTCAGAGTTTACTTCATTAAGAGTGTAGCCCTCCAAGAATATATTATGGGAACCAAAATCGTGTTCTTCCTTAGTGAAATCATGTTTAACTACTCCTTTCGTTATTTCTAGAGGAGCCCTAGTGATGCAGTGGTTAAAGAGCCCAAATGATAACTGAAAGGTCACTGGTTCAAACCCACCAGCTGCTCTGCTGGGAAAGCTGTGGCAGTCGGCTTCCATAAAGGGCCACAGCCTTGGAAAACTTATGGACATGGTTCTTCTCTGGTATAAAGGGTTTCAGTAAATTGATAATGACTCAATAGCGGTGGGTTTAGTTTTTGTTCTTTTAGTTATTTGTGGAGCAAGTAAAGTTTGGGAAGCAACTGGTATCACTGCCGTGTCAGCCAAATTATTTCCAGGGGTATTCCTCTAGGCAGAATCACTTATATTTTTAT